TACCTCCAAGCAAAATGGCAGCCAAAGCACCAGGTCAGTATTTTGTTTATACGTGATTATGACTCGTGTGTTGTTACTATTAGTGTATCATTCAGTTACTGTTACCTCTTGTTATCTATAGACTATCAACCAGCGGAGAGGTGCAGACACTCCACTGTACGGGTAGGAGACTACCTGTACATGTGGGGTGGGTACCAGCCTGATCTCCCTAAAGTGCATAATAATGAAAAGAAGAAATCAATGTGTTCTGTGATGGAGGTGTGTCACCTAAGGACTGGTAAGTGGGAGCAGAAACCCTCCACTGGGTGCTGATGGCTATGCAGCTGCTGCCATTGGAAGGGAAATATTTTATTTTGGAGGCTATTGCAATCGTTATGACTGTTGTCATAATAATTTATACAGGTAAACATGATAGTTTATGATAAGTAATTATTATATATCATTTTATACAGTTTTAATGTTGATACCTTCAATTGGAAGGAACTCTCTCCTACTACATCTCGCAGTCATGGTCCTAGGACGAAGCGCTACTGTGACATGATAGCAATAAAAGTGAACGGGGAGGACTATCTTGTAGTAATTGGAGGAGCTGGATTATTGCCTAATAGTGCCCCCAAACAACCTGGTGCCCAGTACAGTAGCGAAGAATTATTTTCTGGTTATCACCGGTGCAATGAGATCCATTTCTATAAACTCTCAACAGGTCAGAGCACATACAGTTTATATTAATATAATGAAGTATTGTTATTTGGTGGTTCTCCACTCAGACTGGTTGCATTGAGAATTGCTTGCTTGTTTGTTCATGGTTGTCACTCCTAATTATTTGATAATATTATGAAATAAATCATAGATATTAGAGTCAATGAAAGGGATTGGAAATGGGGCGTAGCAACAGGAAATGCGAGTTGGGTTACCACATGACAACCATCGGTGTTTTAATTGTATTACCATCTCCTCCATTGGTGAAGTTGCTTTGGAAGGATTTTGAAGAAAGTTTGTGTCCCTATAGGATACCGCTTACTTATGATATATAGGGATACATGTAGAATGTTTAGAGCTACCTGCAAAAATCTTTGTGTCACTATAGCTGTTTGGAAAATGGCTTTACAGAGGCAAAAAGTCGCCTGTTTCTGAAATACTTTATTGGTTGTAAAACACTCGCTCATCATAGTATCAACAAGCAAGTTAGCTCATTCCATAGGAGATTTCAAGCTCTTTAAAATGGGTACATTAATTTATAGCTCAAGATCAACATGAGTCTCAGATGGGAAAGGATGGTATTTTTAGTGAAAGAGTGACACTGCTACTAACACATGCATTTATTTACTATATTAATAAAAAGTATAAACATTGGTTAGTATTATGTGTGAGTTTTGTTTGCATGAATGGCATCCTTATGGAGTTATTCAAAATAAAAGCAATAAAATCTGTGATTTTTGCTCCAAAATTTGTCAAAAAATTCCAACCCGCCTCTGTTTACTTAGCAACAATACAAATGAATGGAGGTTTGCCTATGCCCACGCTTCCGTTTCCAATCCCTTTCTATTATCTATGAAGGAATATCAACTAGTTTGCTCCACCCAATGCATTCCATTCACACTAATTATTATTATTGATATTTTTAGGACAATGGATATCACCAAATGTCACTGGAGACAGACCACCTCCTATTGATGAATTCACTTTAACATCAATTAATAATTCCAGTGCTATATTATTTGGAGGTGACACTGCTAATGGAAAGAGTAACAATGTATATATTCTAAATTTTACTGATACATCAGTGGTGAGTGTATTATTAGTATAATTACATTAATTATTAATTAATAATGTATTGTATGTGTGTATTATTATTCATAACACTGAGTGTGTAGGTATGGTTTATGATGATCAAATTTTATGATTTTAGGATTGTTCAATGTTATCTAATCCTGGAGGATCAGTACAATGGCCTAAAAAAAGAGGTGCTCATTCCAGTGTATTGATTAACACTAGCTCAGGACCACACCTACTAGTGGTGGGTGGATATTGTACTAATGATATTTGGATATTTGATATTAACAATAAATCATGGAAGGAACTGGTAAGTATATTATAATATAATAACAATACATCATAACTGGTTGTTATTATGTACTAGTAATCTGTATAATGTAAATACATGTAACTTGACGAATGTAAAACATTAAAGGGGCAAGCCAAAGCAAGCTATAGATTACTTGTATGTGCTGTATGATCTACATGTATGGGAAAGCAAAGCAATTTTATAGTAGATCTTGATGCACTGAGTCATCTTAGTTGCATGTTTAACATGTATTGTTTTTCAATCACTTCGGAATCTCTGCATGCAGCAATTAAAGTTATATCTTGCTTATAGTATTAAAGATAGTTAGAAACAGTTACTGAAGAAATCATATCCAACAGAAGAAGCTCAGTACAATCTTAGTCTATACATACGGTTCTTAGTGTTGTGCAGTGAGTGCAGGCTTCTGTGCAGCTTTTAAAGTGATTTAACTTATCAAAGTCCTTTATGTCAAGGAAGAAGATTGTATATCTGGTTTTCTAACCTTCCTTGCTGCAAGAGAAGTCATTGGACAACAGCTTAGTCTTATCAAGAGTGGCCTTATCTTGCTGCAAATAAGCTGATAGCCGCCATTTTATTTCATTGTGACCACAGCCACTTTCAATGAAGATTAGGCTATTTAACTTTAATAATAGTTAGACACAATCCTACCTACCAGTCAGATGTTTCTTGTCTTACTAGTGAGGCTCGCTTTTGCTTGCCCCAATTAATAATTACTGAAAGAATGGTTTACATTAATAATACAACACTATATTGATTTAGGGTGTGGCTTATAGTTTGTGGGTGTGGTTTGCAGTACAGTATTGAGGAATAGAATCATTTTTATTGATGGAAACATAAGAAAATGAAATTAATTATTATTAATCATTAATTTATAAATTAAATGTATACCGTATAGCGGGTTTTTTTTTGAGGATAACAAATTTCACGAATTTCGTGGATTTTTTCATGATTTGCAAAATTAAATTTCTTGAAAATCAATTTAATACGGTACAAGATGGCAGATTAGTGGAAATTCGCAAAAATTAATTCCGCAAACTTCCGGATATGGGTCATTTGCGAAATTTATTATCCTCGAAAAAAACCCGCTATACGGTATCTTGTGTTATAGGTCAATATACCAGCCAATGTCACTAAGAGATACTGGCACTCTCTCTCACTTTTGAGTGTGACTCCAACCATTAACTGGATAATTGTGTTTGGAGGAATGAGAGACTTTTTTACAATAAGTGATCCAGTAGCTATTGAACTCAGTGAGTGCATGTACATGTAACTACAAATGTATTGAAGATACACAATTTGTACTTATTGAACATAGTGAACATACATGTAATACCATATAGCTGGAAATATTTGCTGGAATTTAATTTTGCTGTTTGCTGTTCATCATAAAATTGCACAATTTAATTCCGCAAAGCATTATAAGTAATGGGTGTATCAACAGTACACGCCTACACCAGCAAAATTAAATTCCACAAACATTAAAATTAGCTATATGGGTACAGAGTCGCAAAGTATAATTCCCGCAAACTTTTCCAGCTATACGGTAATTATAAATTAACTGTGTAGCCTTTTTATTTCACTAGATTTGCTTTAAAATAAATTACATACATGTAGATGAATTATCAGTGCTTTACAGTTTACACTATATGCACTGACTGATATGATGCATGTATGTACATGTACGTGTACACGTATACTTGTCATTAATTCAAGGATTGTAATAATTCTAACATGTTCACTTGCCAATGTTGCTTTTTTTGTTAGTCCTTGGAACTAAAGTCTTGGGCCTTTTCACAAAGAAATACATCAATGATTGGTCTACTAGTATATTGCCTCTGGACCAGTATCAAGAGAAACTACAAGAAAGGAGAAGAGAATGGGATTTATGGGTAGCATCTCAACCTGTTCAACCTGAGGATAGAAGAGAAATAGACCGTCTGACACGTGTACTACAAGAAAGGGAAAGGGAACTAGAGGAGGAGAGAAGAGAAAAGGAACAAGTTAGAAACAGACTACAGCAACAACTTCAAAGAAGAAAACAACAGCTTCAACAAGCACAGCAACAAGGACAAGAAAGAGAGAGGCTGGCTAGAGAATGGAATCTTCAGAGGCGACTTGAACAAACACAGCAACTTCAATCAAGAGAGAGAGAATCTCAAGAAAGAGAGAGACAGCTTCAAGAAAAAGAGAGACAACTTCAACAAATACAGCAAGAAAGAGAGAGGGAAATTCATCAGGCCAGAGAACGAGAGCAGGATCTTGAACAACAGCTTCAAGAAAAGGAGATACAACTTCAACAAGCACAGCGTCAAGGGCAAGAAAGGGAGAGGGAAATTCAAGAGGGCAGGGAACGAGAACAGGATCTTCAGAGGCAACTTCAACAAGCACAGCAACTTCAATCAAGAGAGAGAGAATCTCAAGAAAGAGAGCAACAGCTTCAAAGGCAAGTAGAAGGTGGCCAGCAAAGAGAACAGGATCTTCAACGACAGCTTCAAGAAAGAGAGCAACAGCTTGAGGAAAGAGAAAGAGAGTTCCGAGAAAGAGAGAGACAACTTGAAGAGCAGATACAAGTGGCAGAGTCTTCCTGGGTAGTGAATAGAAGAGAGATTACAATGACAGAGGTAGTCCTTGGTAAAGGAGGATGGGGAGAGGTGAAAGTGGCCGGTTTTCGTGGTCTGAAGGTTGCTGCAAAGTGTCTCTATGAAGTCATCATCTCTCCTTATAACATTGGGACATTCTCTCGTGAAATGAATATTGCTTCTAAAATACGTCATCCTAACCTCCTTCAGTTCATAGGAGCGACTACAGAGGGTAATCCAATCATCCTGACAGAGCTAATGCCGACGAGCCTAAGAAAGGAATTAGAGAGTGGAGGAGTGGCCTATCCTGCGATACTGAGCATCAGTTTAGATGTAGCCTGTGCTCTCAATTACCTTCATCTCTTCAAGCCTCATCCTATACTACATAGAGATGTCAGCAGTGCCAATGTACTCCTTCAAATAACAGGAGGAACCTGGAAGGCTAAAGTATCAGATTACGGTACAGTTAGTCTCCAACCTCTTGCTAGAACAAGCAATCCTGGTAATCCTGTCTATTCAGCTCCAGAGTCTCCCTACCCAAATCAACATTCTCCTGCAATGGATGTCTTCAGTTATGGTGTCCTCCTTATAGAGATGGTCGTTTGTGAGTTTCCAGACGTAGGAAAGAGAGTGGCTCAGATTAAAGCTATCAAGAGGCCGACATTGAAGAATCTCATTGAATGTTGTCTGATAGAGAACTACAAAGATCGTCTAGCAATGTCTGACATTATAAAAGAATTGAATGAAAGCATTTAGTGATGTAGTCAACTTAGTGATGTATTTTCATTTTTAGATTTTGTTTCTTTGCTTAGTTTAATTTTTTGAAGTTTAATGTTAATGCCACACCTTCATAATTTATGTCATAGAGGGGCGTACCTCCAAGCAAAATGGCAGCCAAAGCACCAGGTCAGTATTTTGTTTATACGTGATTATGACTCGTGTGTTGTTACTATTAGTGTATCATTCAGTTACTGTTACCTCTTGTTATCTATAGACTATCAACCAGCGGAGAGGTGCAGACACTCCACTGTACGGGTAGGAGACTACCTGTACATGTGGGGTGGGCCCGGGTACCAGCCTGATCTCCCTAAAGTGCATAATAATGAAAAGAAGAAATCAATGTGTTCTGTGATGGAGGTGTGTCACCTAAGGACTGGTAAGTGGGAGCAGAAACCCACCACTGGTAACCCTCCACTGGGTGCTGATGGCTATGCAGCTGCTGCCATTGGAAGGGAAATATTTTATTTTGGAGGCTATTGCAATCGTTATGACTGTTGTCATAATAATTTATACAGGTAAACATGATAGTTTATGATAAGTAATTATTATATAGTATTTTATACAGTTTTAATGTTGATACCTTCAATTGGAAGGAACTCTCTCCTACTACATCTCGCAGTCATGGTCCTAGGACGAAGCGCTACTGTGACATGATAGCAATAAAAGTGAACGGGGAGGACTATCTTGTAGTAATTGGAGGAGCTGGATTATTGCCTAATAGTGCCCCCAAACAACCTGGTGCCCAGTACAGTAGCGAAGAATTATTTTCTGGTTATCACCGGTGCAATGAGATCCATTTCTATAAACTCTCAACAGGTCAGAGCACATACAGTTTATATTAATATAATGAT